CACTGCAATTCAGTGATTAAAAGCTTTCCCAGGCTGTGTCTTTCCCAGTGTGGGGCCCTACATCCACACTACATTACCTAATATGCAATTGGCATCAAAGCACAACACTCCCAGCATCAAAAGCTTTTTGACTGGTTGTGAGTCAATGTTATAGCCACAAATGAATTACCAAGGAATATCAATAATATCGATGACAAGGAAAAAATTAGTATCAGCTACTATTTAATAATTTATACCATGCTACAAGTACTGTGCTATGTGCTTTGAATACTTTATCTCACCGAATCCTCACAATCATACTCTGACACAGGCATTATCATCCCCATTTTATAGATGAGAAAACTGAGAAGTAACTTGCTTAGAACTTCATAACAGGTCAATGGCAGAGCTAGACTTAAACTCCAAAGTCCAGGACTCCTGTTCACTATGCTGTATTGTTTTCATTGAAACATGAGAATGAGAATTATAGCAATAGTAAGTTTGCCAGGACCAGTAGGTTCTTAGACTGAGATTGCTTTAAAGGAATTTAAATATTCCCATGACAGCTAATATTGTTCCTAAGAAATAGTAGATATCAATCAAGAGCAAGCTTTACTTTTGTGAAATCTATTGCTTATGTATTTTTCAGCGCTACAGTAGGAAGGAAAAGGAAACAAACTTAATCATTTCTCAATGACAGGACTTTTTACAAACTGCCTTAGAGAAACCCAAGTTTGCATAATTCTGGGAAAGGACTGGGACAGTGTCAACCATTTCTGGCCCCCAAACTCTTTCTTGCATTTCAGCTTTTGCTGCTTACAAGATCAGCGACGGGAGACTTTTTCCTGTTCTGTTTCTCCACTTCTACTTGCATTTTGGCCATTGGTTTGGCCATGGCAAGGGCCATTTTGGCTTCAGCTTGCAATTTCTTTTGCCTTGTAAGGAAGTCCATGTCATCCAAGGATTCAGACTCCTCTTCAGTAGTGTCTCTATCAGAATAGGAAGAACTCTGTTTGCTCTGCAAAGGGAAAAAGAGCAGCCTGAGCCTTCCATGCATGCCAGCTAGCATCCACTTAGACATGGGCTAAAATACCCTCTGAGCCTTCTCCCAGAGCAGCTCAGAGTTTCCTCCATCAATGTGACTTGCTGCTTGAGTTGATAAATCTCAAGTAACATAAAAAGGGTCTAGTTTAAAATAGATTTTAGCATAAACAGAAAGAGCAGTATAGTTAATAATGGGAAATATATTTATAACAACCTTGAAATATGTCTTTGATTCTTGGTCTCAAAACTTTCCTGAAGTGACCAGACATAACAAAATATTGACTCAGAGCCAAGGCCCTACGTAGGTTCTTTGAGTGGACAGGATCTCAGGTATCCAATGATGTTCTGATGTCACATTGCACTCAATGACAACAGTTTCCTCTTTGTTGGTCTTTGGTAAAAAAGGCTATAGACAGACCTCACAGAGAGGAAATAATTCCAGCAACAGGCACCCAAGATTATTCAGCCAACTTCTGTAATGTGAAGGAAAGACATGAGCTCATATTTCTAAGCCCAATAGGGAAGAACTGGATTTAGCTTATTTTCTCTTTATAATTTTTAGAGCATATCTAATTTCTCTCTCTCCCTGATACGGTTTGGCTGTGTACCCACCCAAATCTCATCCTGAATTGTAACTCCCACAATTCCCATGTGTCGTGGTAGGAACCCAGTGGGAGGTAATTGAATTATGGGGGTGAGTCTTTCCTGCACTGTTCTTGTGATAGTGAATGAGTCTCACTAGATCTGATGGTTTTAAAAAGTAACATGTGACTTGCTCCTCCTTGCCTTCCGCCATGATTGCAAGGCTTCATTAGCCATGTGGAACTGGCTAAGTCCGTTAAACCTCTTTCTTTTGTAAATTGCCCAGTCTCGGATATGTCTTTATCAGCAACTTGAAAATGAACTACACCCTCTCTCTCGTTAGAGACAGGATCTCACTATGTTGCCCAGGCTGGAGTGCAGTGTTGTCATCATAGCTCACTGCAGCCTTGAACTCCTGGGCTCAGGTGATCCTCCCGCCTCAGCCTCCTGAGTAGCTGGGACTATAGGCACCATGATCAGCTAATGTTTGTATCTTTTATAGAGACAGGGTTTTGCCATGTTGCCCAGGCTGGTGATTTCCCTAATGGTTTAATATGAAAATAGTTATTAGCTTTAAGAAAGCTTATATATCTCTATTTTATTACAACTTTGACTTTTTAATCATTGTCAAATTTTAGGAGCATGCAATTCCAAGAAACTTTTCTTTTTTAATCTCTGAAATGTTTGTTCCTGATTCACAACAGAAAAGAAGCTAAATGGCCAGGAAATCACACCACCAAGCTTCAGCTGGTGCTGTTTGGACTCACCATGGGAGACAAGGGGGTGTCCAAGCTGGTTTCAGTCTTACTGTCATCAGCATCACTGTCCTTATCACTGCCACTGTCGTTGACAAAGCATATCTGCAGGTTCATCCCACTCTGCAGTCTGGGCAGAAACAAACAGGACACTAGTTCTAGTTAGCTATTGGTTATTTGGCTTCAGCCAATAGAACTGTCTGATTTTGCTAACAGAAATTAGTCTTATGTGCTCTTCACATGGAGAAGTGAGCAACCAATATTACTCTCCACGTATGAATAACTCTTAGTAGAGGATTTTCCAATGTTCTGTGAGTTTTTTCCTCGCCAGTTTCATGGTAAGTGAAAAATAATTTAAGGCCACATGTTAGGGCACCCAGCACAATACCAAATAGATAGTTGGCACACAATAAAAATGTGTTGAGTCTTTGAGTTTACAGTCCTGTCAATCAAGATGAATGGGGTCCTCAGGCAAATAAGGCTGTGTGGTGTCATCTAGAGTCCCGTCCCAGGGGACAATCAAAGACTCTCTCACTGGAGCCAGCATCCCAAGGCCATAACTCTCTGAAGAAAGACTCCTTTTCTCCCAAATAGACAGAATAGGGTCATCTGAAGGAAATCTTTGAGGCAGTTGCCAAAAGCCAACGGAGGGAGCTCATTTATATCATTAAGAAAGAAAAACACCACACGTTCACACTTAAAAACATGTAAGGAAGCTCCAAACCCAGGCAGGAAGGTGCAGCCTTAGAACACAGCAAGGTTCTGCAGACCGCCTCCTGCACACAGAACCTCAGGGACAGAGACCTCTGGGAAGCCATTATATGTGTGGTGAATCCCGAAGCTCCAGGGCTGATGTTGTTGGAAGCACAGTCACAAAGGGTAACCTCACCATGTAGCTGCCACTCGCAGGCCAGACTGCAAAGCCAACTTTTTGTCCTAACCTTCTTTTGAAGTTGAACACATTTCAATACTGTTTGGCGATAAAGCGTTTTTAAAGAAATAAGTCTTCCTAGCATCTCTAGTAGCTCCAGTCTCTGTTTAAACTCAGGGAAAGAAAAGGCAAAGGAAGTTCCTACACAAGAAGAGATCCCAAGGAAGGTGAGGTTTAGGGCAGAGGACACTGCCAGGTTTAGGTCAGAGGACGCTGATTTCTCTGGCATTATTACTGCCATAGGGAGAAATGTCAAGAACAACTTACCTGAGATTTGACTTTTCAATTCCAATGGTAGGAATGCTTTGTAGAAATTGCTCAGATCACTCATTTAAAGTGCTTCTTTTATTGAACATAACACAGAACCCAGAAAAAGAAAATCTGATTTAACATGGGAACCATAATTGTTATGGGTATGCGCTGCCACCTATTGTTAAATTCTATAATTACTGAAAATCCCAGCTTACAAACCCTGTTAAGAAAATGCAGCCATTCCCTCAGTCTGCCCAGCTCTATTCGCTCCCTACCCTCAAGGCACAGGCAAGGGGAGCCAGGCACAGAGCTAGGGGTTAGAAAGCAACACACCCTACTCTGAACATCTGAAGGTGTTTGGAGTGAGCTGAACTTAGGTTCTGAATCCTTACTTCTTTCTCCAGGCACATTACAAAAGCTCTATGACCCTCAGTTTCCTCATCTGTAAAATGGGTTGAATAGTAGCAAACCCAGTGTTATGCAGGAAGGATTAAAATAGTTCATTCAGAGCTTAGTGCAGGGCAAGTGACCTGCACATGTGAGTTGGTCTCCATTCTCTATTTGTTGAAAGTCTAAACAAAAGTAACAGAATTTTAGAGGTGAAGTGATTCTCTAAAGTCACTTACTCTAATACTGCTTGTCCTGTCACAATAATCCCTGATGTAGAATCAACTCTCTGAGACGACACATTGTCTATTAGGCAGTTTGTTCTTCTATTGAGCTGGGATTTGCCGCCTTTTTACTTTCATCCATTGGATATACATACATACCTACATAAACACAAACACACACACACACACACACACACACATATATATATATATATATATTTTTTTTCCTGGAGAAATCTAATATGTTCAGGTTACCCTTTGATTCCATGCAGGTTTAGAAATTTTAATGTCTGTTAGTCTAAAAAAATAAAATCAACCCCCTTTTAATAATAATACTCAAGATCTATGGGTTGGAAGATGGTGGGAAAAAAAACTGTTAGCAAATTAAAAACAGACACATTTTAAAGACAAATCCTAATTTGAATCTAGGATTACGTAGCATTTTCTATTTATTGAATAAAGTCTTGAGAAGAAGGGTCTCGCTACTGGATACACAGATTATAAACATATAAAATAACCCACAATACAAAATACAAAGCAAAATAAAGTTTACAATGTTCAGAGATATATATTTTCACTCACAAGAAGTTTGATCATAAGTTCTGTTGTTCTGCTGCTATGCTGACTTCTTTTTGAAGGATTAACCCAGACTTAAACATCCCATACAGTCTAACTCAGGAAAGAAAAAAAAAAAAAGTTGGGGGAGATTTAGTAGTCTGTGTAAAATAAAAAAAAAACACGCCGCAGGTAGAAATTCAGAAAATCGCCTTAGTACCACATTATCCCCATGGGAAACTGAAGAGAGCTTCTTATAGGGTGAGACATAATTGCTTACAGTGGTAATCACCAAGAATGTTACTCTCAGGAAAAGGAAATTATATGACATAACAGCTAATGGTTCAGAGGGGATTTTAGTAAAGACATCTTAAAACGAGCTCAGGTTTCAAGAAGGATTTGTTTGCCTTTAGCCTTTAAGCGGGTTTTAAGAAGAAGTCAGCTCTCAGTGGAACTCAACCACAGCTCCCAAGCAGCCTGAATGGATGAGTGGGGCCACCTGGTGCTGCTGAAGGCCTCTGTGCCCAGGGTGGAAGAACAGATAACCCCTGTTCCAGGACCCTGCCCACCCTGGGAGACGTGGCTGTTCTTGAGGCTCACATCTGAAAACCGAAGTTCCCCGGGCCTCTGTCCCTCACACTGCAGTGCATCTGGCTGCCCTCACAACCAGTCTTGCAAAATTCAGGCTGCAGGGGGCCTAATTTACCTAGATCTCTCAAGCACAGTCTGAGGTGAAAACAAAACACCATCCTCATCTTGTTAATTAGAGATATAATTTCAAGGTATCCAATTCAAGGTTACTTGATGTTTCAAGTGGCATTTACCAGAGCACTGTGCAAAGACTGCTGGAAGTCAGCCTTGCCTGTCGATTTCATTTCTGAAAGGTCTGTCCTGGTTATCCCAGAAAGCTCTTCTCCCTTACATACCACAAAACAATCAAAACCAACGCTGCTGCCCAGAGCTACTGACAGGCAGCACCAGGGGTCTGGAAAGAGGGTGTCCTTGATGGAGAATGCCCAGAAACATGAAGAGCTAAAGACTAAATATGTCTTCTGGACATCTCAGTGTGAGCAGGAGTGGCCTCTGTGTGACAGTGCCTACTGGCCAGGAGCAGGAGGGCACTTGGTCGGGAGGCTGCACAGCAACCTCGTCTGCTTGGCATTTACAGTGAGGAAGGCTGCTATTTAGAAAACACTGGTGCTGACTTCCAACTACTATTACCAGGGATACTATTAAAATATGCACAGGAATTGAGAGGATGGCAGAGATGAAAAGTTTTTAACTACGAAGAGACTATCTCGAAAACTCAGCCAAGTGGTAATATGATTTTGCATAAAGGTAACTTTTATTTCAAAATACAGGGACAAGAGCAGTTTATTCCCTAAGAGAAACAATGCCGTGGCCCTGAAGTTTGCTGGTGACTTCTAGAGGAGCAGTGGTCATTGTGAATCGGGACTTTGTTCTTGGCTTTGGGTTGTAGTGACCGGGATTGGGCTGGTCTGAGACCAGCTCTGAAGCCTGGAACTACTTGCTTTTTTTCAGATTTTAGGAAGGGGAATCTCCCAGCACCTGCTTAGACCACTAGTATCTACGTATAAATGTTCAAGATTCATTAGTAAGATTTTTATCCCCCTGTCCACAGCACCTTGGTTCACTTTACTTTGAACTGTTGCATTGAATTTTAAAGTATGTTCACTTACATTCTCTCCTGGGGCTGTGGATTACAGGCAAGATATACTTACTCAGAGAAGTCAAATGACTTGCCCCAGACCTGTGACAACCTCTTTATAAAAATGGTCTCAATTCTTCCTCTCCTTATACCCATCTCCTCTGTAATGTGACTCTGCAGCTTCTCCCATTGAGAAGTGGAGTCTACTTCCCTAGCCCTGGGCTGGCCTTGGAACTCATCTTTGCCAGTAGAATGCAGAGGAAGTTCCAGTTTCCCCCTCAGGGAGCCCTGCCACCACCCTCAGAACAGGTCCAGGCTAGCCTGCTGGCAGTGTAACTTTGTAGCACAGAGCCCACTTTGTAGCACAGAGCTCAACCGGCAGTTGTCTCAATTGAAGCCCTGGACAGGTGTGAGAGCCCAGCCAAGAGCAGTAAATACACCTTGCCAACCTGTAGCTGACCGGAGATGATTGAGTAAGCCTGTCCAAGCTCAGGTCAGATCAGAACCACCCAGCTGACCTATAGGATCCTAAGGAAAAATAAAGGTTGATCATTGTATGCTACTGATATGGGTGCCTTTTAAAAAAAATTATGCATCATCATTGTGGCAATAGGTAACTGGTACAGGTTCACAAAGCAAAAGGCTACAGACTGGACTTCTGATTTCAGAATCCGGTGGCCTTTCCCTTATACTACACTTAGCCTCAGGTTTGAATTTATTAGATCCTTTCCGTATCTGGCAATATAATTTTAAAGGAAATATGCCTCCTATACCTGCTTATAATTTCAAGGCAATTGTATGGTTTTCCTTAGGAAACAGAATGAAAGGGAACGCCCCATAGGCCAGGGATTTCAAACATGCATTGCTCATTATCTGCCTACAACCAGTGTGGTTTGAGAGCCTTTGGTCCTGCTATGCCATTCATTACTCAGTATCCCCAACTAGTTTGTGACTGGGTCATTAAAATATATTATTTCCATTTATTTTGAAGGATCTTTGATGTATGATTTCAAGATTTTATATATAATGAAAAATTGCCCATAGTTTTATAGGATATCTTTTTCTGTTTCATGAGAATTTCAAAAGTGATGAAACATAAAATATGGATTGCA